CGGGAGCGTCCCCGGCTGTCCTCTGCTGAGAGCTCCGTGATTTGTTTGGTCAAGTCCGGTTTTTCATCTCATCGTAAATTTAGCAAGAAGTGGCCATTATTACATTGCTGACTCAAACTACACACCCGCCAGAACACTGCGATCATCAGATGCAGGTCTATTAACTGTGATTTTATAGTATGTCTGCACTTTATGTGCTCATTTCATCATGCATGTATTTTTATATTCTAAAACATGTTTCGAACGGCACCCGCTATTTGTTTGTATATCAGTCTGTTCTTCTTCTCTGTCTTCCGGTTGTTGCCTATTTTGAATGACGAATACACACTACCGCCGCCTGCTGGTAAGGAGAGTTATTGCCACTCACGCATGCGCAGTTCGTACGTGCTCGGCTGTAGTAAAGCGGTGTATTTCAGTGCGACACACGGCCAATACGCAGGAGAACTCGTCGATGGATCTGTCGGTGTCGGATGTCGGCGAGTTCTCTGGTGACTGCCTGGTGTGTCAGGGCCACTCACATATTTGTACAATCATGCTCTCTCATTATAGCCACTAAAATCATCTTAAAATACACTTACAAGCTACAAATATAATTAAATATCTTATAATTTAATTGTCACAGAACAAGGTAGTACGGCCCAAATGGAGGTTTGTTTGCTTAGCATAACTGCTACAATTCAGATCTAATACATTACCCTCTCACAGCCCTCCATCTCAAATAACTTAGATTCCAACTAAGCGCAAAGCTAACACAAAGTAAAAAATATCCTTGTGACCATCCAACCATCAGCCCCGTGGATCGCTGCCATGGCCGCCCACTGAGCTGCTGAGCCCCGGGCTGTCATCTGTCCAGGCAGGCCTTGACCTCATGGAGAGCTGGAGCCTCGGATCAATAATAGACACCAATGTCCTCGTCCGGGGCCCCAGGCTGAGAGAGCACATCTTCTTCAAAGTCAAACTATAGGAAAGTCATGAGTTTATGTGTGCAATAATGAGCCTTTAAATCTAATAATTTGAGCATAATTGTTGTCAGATAATATACAGGGAGAGATTGAGATTTCAGGTTACATGTTAATAAAGAAAACATGTTGGTATCCACTGTTACTTTTTTAAATACTTCCCCAAGTTGTAAGTCCCTTTACATACTGTATGTACCATCTGATTTTGTATCGCAAGACTTAGATAAGGTGGCTTTATGTTAATGAATGTATATTCCTATCTACTTGAATTAAAAACATCAAAGACAGGACAAAAATAATCAATACCACAACCAAGAGTTCTAGTATGTGTTTGAATATAGTTTTGTGTGCCATGCAACTAATGCAATAAGCACATTTGATCTTGCATTTACACTAGTAAGAAAAGTATTAATTCAATTCAGGAAACATTCAAGAAAGCTGATTTTAAGAAGTCTGCGTTGGACAATCTGTTTTTGCGATAAACCAGCATTTTATGAGCCTGCAGCCTCATCCTGTCTGGATCCATGAGGTCATGAAGTACGTAATTGAAAGTCTTGGTTTTTCTGAGGATAGCTCTTTGTTTCCGTCTGAACTCTTTATCCCTGTCTTCAATTTTTAGAATTAACTTTGACGGGGACGAGCAGACTTATTTTTAGTACGAATAAGTAGCTCCTCTGTAAAAACACCTTCGTACCTTGAATGGTCTCCCTCCACTAATTTATATCCCTCTCAGATTTTCTGACTAAAGTTAGAACAAAAACAAAATGTACTGTAACTAGAAAAATTACAAGTCAAGTTCAGATAATGGAAAAACTAATATCATTTAATAGAATGCAACCATTTTTTCAGAACTTGAGAGAAAGACTTTATTCACACATCAAAGCCAAATTAAATTATGTATCAGCAAGCTGGTCTACTTAGTTGTTTACTTCCTGAACTCATGACTCAGCACTCCATTGGTTGACCTAGATAGCGCCGAACCCCAGAGAAAAAAAGATAGAGAGCACTGATGACCAGCGGATCTTTTTAAAGTCTCAGTGGGAGAGGACGGCCGACAGGCATAGAAAGCCAGACTGCAACTTTACTTATTGTAGGTTGTATAAGTAATGAGTAAGTAGAGGCCATTTGCTCATTGATTGATTAATTAATTGATTTTAACAGTTATTATTTTAAGTGGTTTGTCATGGCATAATTCAAAAACATGCAGTAATAATAAGCTCAGGACTTATACATGGGGCGATGTTATACCAGGAGAGTACCAAATGCCCAAGTAATGCCTTTTATTCCCTTTCCTTTCTCCCTGTCTCCCTTCATTCTTTAATTCAGTCGTTCACCTTCCTCAAAGTGCCATTGATATTACATTATGTCTTCATTTGTTCTTTCCTTCCAGTCAGACAGACACTGATTCATTTATTATGGCGCATTACATTCCAGTACAGTGATGAATATTGTAATGAAGAGAGTTAGGATAGGGCCTAATGCTTTTCACAGCCTATCAGAGCTACAGGGAATCAGTGCAGCAGGGGAACTGTAAGCCTCAACACAATGAGATCGCCTGCAGTGACAAGGGTTATATCTTGGTGGAGATTGGGTCATCTGCTGAAAATCATGCGAGAGGAATTTGCTGATGAATCAAGTGGCAACTTTGAAAGATATTTAGGAGGTTCACTTATCGACTTTCAAGCTTGGGGGATAAACAGTCATTCAAAATTCATTTTTATAATCTATTATTCATATACTATTATCGGCTGATGTGAGAAGTCAGTGGTGACCCTATTCTCACGTCCGCTGCTGATATCTAGCCCTTGTGCCCCATGTGTGAACAAAACTGAGATTGAAACTTAATGTGGATGATAAAAACGTATATCCAAACAAACCATGCAGAAGGCCACTGACTTTTCCCACACACACACACACACACACACACACACACACACACACACACACACACACACACACACACACACACACACACACACACACACACACACACACACACACACACACACACACACACACACACACACACACACACACACACACACACACACACACACACACACACACAGTCTTTTCTGTAGTAAAATATGTGCAGCAGAAGAAGAGACCAGGAGCTAGGTGCATTACAAGGGGGCACACACACACACACACGCAGGCCCTTAAAGGACAGTGGGTGGGTTTACTGTGCTTATAAGAGACAACAGCTGAGGAGCATCAGTCTATTTTTGCTCACCCTGCCTTAATGTAAGTCCCCTCAGAAGGAGGTGTGATCAGTTTGGGGTGCCTGAGAATCTGAGATAAGATAAAAGAGGAGACAATCCCTTATTTAGTTGACCTCACACACATGTATCAAGACAAATGCCTAGGCGCTATTGTCCCACTTTCCCTGAATGAAGTCCAATTGGCAGAACATTGAGATATACTCCCTGTCAACACAACAACTTGGTCCTTGGCCCAAACCTTGTAAATAGAAAAAGAAACGTTTGCTTGGGTCGATGTTTCAAACAAAAACATGTATGAACACTTAGCCATGTAACAATTTAGATACCATTTGGACAAACAGGAGTCTTGTGTCATGTTTGTGATTTTGAAGAGTTTCAAAAATTTGAGGCCATGAGGCTGAATCTGATTGGGGTTTCTTTTTAGATAAAAACATCTTCAGAATGGTTTCTAATTCAGGTATATGAAATTAAATTAATTCAAATTAGGGGAAATGGATTTAGTTGTTTGCAAAATAGATGGAGATAGTGTGAGCAGAGAAGTTAAAATGTGGTGTGCAACAGTTGAGACAGAAGACATCCAGTGAGTCGCAGTTCAACAGAAAGATGTCTGTGGCTACATGTAGAGAGTAAATATTTGAGGAGTGCAGCCTGCAGCAGTAACTTGTTACCTCTGTGTCTCCAGAAAGCCCCTCCTCGGACAAACCCCTCAGCCTGAGCGTCACTCAAAGTTCACTTCGGTACAGTCCCTTTTCCTCCGCTCAAATACACACTCACACATCCCCTGTCATCCACACAAAACGCACACGCGCACACTCACACAGCGCCAGACGCGTTTGCATAGCCCGTCTGCCACTTCCAGTGTTACTTCTCAAGAGACGCGCAAGACCTGTTGGATTTAACTAAAATAATTTTGTTGTTGTGCAGAGTTGACAAAAGTGTGACTACTTTTTTTGTTCTCGCTCTCCTCAGTTACATCTTATGTGACAACTTATTTTGGGACCTCCACCTCAGTTCAACAATCGCGGAGTTTATTGGTGAATAAACGGGTTAATTGACTTTCAAAATTCCGAGCCGTGCAGTTGGATTAAATCAGTGTTTGATGGGCAAAATGAATACCTCCGTGAAATAACTCCACAGGATTTCAAGGTATGCTATGCACATCCACGACTTTGCATTACAGTAATGAATTAATATCGGATGCTTCTTGCTAGAGTACGTGATTTACTTTACTTTCAGCTTCAAATTTAAAAAGCCTCTGGCAGCTATTGCTCTACAGTTGGTTGGATACATTTGAATGGTAAAAGCATTTGTGCGCTTGTGTGAGATTAAATAAGAGAGAGAAACAGGATAGTTTCTGGGAGGTCTAAACTGACGTGTTATCTTTTTCTTACTATATTTCTCAATCCTGCTCTTTTTGTTTTGCTTAATGTATGTCACTCAATTAACCTACTGGGCATGTGCATAAAGCCCGAAGGTCTGTTTTGTTTCAGACAAGTGCAATGTGTCAGGGTGGCTTTAGTGTGGATTTTAGGATATAAGTGTCATGTGTTGTACGGATTGCAAATCCCCTTGAGTAAAATGTGTGCTTTTTGGGTTGTATGAATACATTTCTGTGTGTGTGTGTGTGTGTGTGTGTGTGTGTGTGTGTGAGAGAGAGAGAGAGAGAGAGAGAGAGAGAGAGAGAGAGAGAGAGAGGCTGTCATCTGGATTTTGACACATGTCACTGTGATGCACTTTGCTACCCTCCATCAGTCTTGATTTCCTTTTTTCTTGTTGGCAGTGATAATCCCAGTGTGGCTTCTCCTCTCGGGGACTGAAGATGTATCGGGGTGTGTGTGTGTCGGTTCCCCTGCTGACTCTACTGGTACTGACACTTGTGGTGCCCATGGGCCAGGCCTGCCCCAGGAGCTGTAACTGCTACCAGGCCAATGAAGTCCACTGTACCTTTCGTTCCCTGCTCAGCATACCTTCTGGCCTCCCTATACACACACGCCGCATAAACTTTGGGTAAGGGAATGCAAGTGAGCAAGTAGGAGTGCTCTTATTTACCATGCAAACACACCCATAGAGTTTGGAATGTGTCAAACTGCAGCAAATTAACGAGCTCTAGAGATATAATATTTGTTGATGTATTGACGTCTAAGGTTGATGATGCTGTTTCTGTGCCACAGATTCAACAGCATCAGCACAATACATGCCAGTTCTTTGGCTGGGCTAAAGAAGGTGGAGCTCCTGATGCTCCACAGCAATGACCTCCACCATCTGCCAGATGAAGCATTCAGAGATTTGAAATCACTACAGGTAAATAGGAAGAAGAGCAGCATGCATTGGACCCAACATTGACATCGTTTAAGGCTGAAAAGAGAGGGAAATCAATTAAAAAAAAAAACTAGCAGATTTTTGGATGGGATAATTGACTAAATTAAAGATAACAAACGTTTGAAAGAAATGGGATGTATTCTTTAGAGCCCTTTTCTTTATGTTTTGTCAATTTTCTTTATGGAACTACAGCATACCTGTATCTCATACAAGCAGCTAACAGCAACCAACATGATTGAGTGTCCTGAACTGTCCTTTTCCAAGAGAAACTATCCATGCTGGATTATAAAGTGTATGGATGTTAATGGGGAAAATAAATCATTGTCTCAAATATTTAGCCTTTGACTCTTTGGATATGAAGTATTTTTCAGGACACAGATATGAGTATCAAACTTGGACCCAGTCTCACAGCCTAATCCTTAATCCCAGCCTCAAGCAGGGGTACCATACAAGGATCCTTCACTATTTCAAATGTATTTTGTTTCAGAAAACTCAGCTCTCACATTTCTTTAGTACTTTTAGTTTAAAGTCTGCATAAGCTCTTTAAGTATGATACATGTATATACTTCAACTGCTTGACAGAACCCATTTCAGTTTTTAACAACATAAGTAATGCAGAGATTATCAACATATATAGCATTTGTCAAAGAGTTTGGTACAATTTAGAGAGGAATCTATATGAATAAATATGCCTAAATCTAGCAGTCAAACAAATGATTATAAAATGATTAATTTTACATTTAATCTGTGAAACCATTATGGAAATTAATATAATAGTTAACATGATTCTGTTCAAATTTGTCAGCACATATTTCTAATTTCTGTACAACGAATGCATAATTGATTTGCTATCATTATTTTTGCTGCTCAGTGACAGGAAACACACTGGACATTTTAGCAGGAACCTAAGGGCAGAGTTAGCAGTCCGTGGGGAAGTCAAATTACTCAACAAGCAATTGTTCCCTTCATCTCCCAGGCAGATGCTGATATATTTGGCATTGTGTGATAATAAGATCCATATTTCCATGTGCTGACATCTTCACGTGCTAGATCTGTCAGTAGCTGGAACTCTGCCAGCTAAGTAGCCTTCCTGCAGAGCGGATTTATCACAAGCTTCACAGAAACACAATTCCACAACATGGTTTTCATGGTGTGTGTCTGTAAAGGTTGGTGGGTTTTTTGCACATGACTAGAATAATAATAGTTCCCCAGAGTCTTGAGCTTACAGGATACATTTCCTATTTGAAACGTTGAAGGCCCCCAGTGCTAGAATATGCTTTAAGTCTTTTCTGCTTTGAATCGATAAACTTGCAGCAAGACTGTAACGTCTGGTTTTGTGTGGTGGACTTTTTTTTAATTTGGTGTGCTACTGGAAGTATTCCCCCATATTTCTAAAAACAACACAGTTTGCATTTATTTTTGCTTACAAAGAGTTTTTCACAGACTCCAATTCCGCTTGCATAATTTGTCATAAATTCAATTTACAAGCATGTGGTGTCCAGTGACTTATGATCAGTGCATAGACTTGGTATTTTTGATTGCTCTTCTAATCCTTCATTGCTTCCGTTCACTCAATTTCCTCTCCCTCCCCCCGCAGATACTAAAGCTGAGTTATAACAAGCTTAGAGAGATCTCTTCATCTCTAACCTTCTCTGGCCTGACCTCCCTGCTGCGTCTGTACTTGGATCACAACCGCCTCCAGCACATCCACCCCCGGGCGCTGCTCCAACTGCCGAGCCTCAGGCTGCTGCGTCTGCAAGGGAACAGGCTGCATCAACTGCACCCTCGCACTCTGTGCACACTGTCCCTCCTGAATACATATTACTTCTCTACACTCAGGTGAGCTTGAGCACTTACAGCACATCATATTATAGTCATTGTTTGGCATGTTACAACATGATAACACTTTTAACAACACAACACATACAAGCAAAAGAAGAGTACTCTCTGTTCTCTGGTAAGTTTGTTATTGCCACATTATTTACAATACTTCCATGACCTACTACATAAACTGATCTGTGTGTTCTTGACTATCACAATTCTAAAAAAACAATTGCACTATGATGACTTGTGACAAAGTATTAGCTAAATGTAGTTCAAATGGTGTGATCAGTGAGATTTAGTGATAATGGGATACATGATTGACTAGTCAAAAGAAAAACTCATCCAATGAAAAAGCAACTCTTGCTGGTTATTTTTACCTAGACAAATACACTTCTAAAACTGCGCCTACTCCTGCTCCTTAATGATCTAATTGTATTACTACTGCAGAGGAATAACCAGGATCTGAACATGAGGATGATGATCGGAAGGATAACAATTATTAGTTACTTTCCCCTAACCTTTCATCTCTCACTGCCCACTCACACTCTCTCATCCCTTCCTCCATGATTTGGACTCAACCTTGTTGTCCACCATCCCCCTCCACTTAATGATTTATTTTGTTTTTGTTTTCCCCATCTGTAGACACCTAGACTTGTCCAACAACAGTCTAACAACTCTGCCCAGAGACACATTAGCAACAGCACCTCTGCTAGAGACTCTTGTGCTGCAGGCTAACCCTTGGAGTTGTGACTGTAGGATGAACTGGTTTCTCACTTGGAGTCTGGCACATCCAGGTGATTGTGACATCTGATATGTTTTCAACTGTCATTGTCATGCACATGTGATTTGTGTTGGTCATTTGTTAAGCCTCTGAGCCAGTTTAACTCAGTCAAGGAGTACAAATGTGATGGTTATTGCAAAATGCATATAGATAGAATGACGAGGTAACTAGGTAAGGTAGTAACAAGGTGAATGGATTGAGAGAAAAACATTATACAGCTGTAATGTAGCATATCAAATCAAGGCAGGAATAATGCGATAAATGTATTTTCCTACACATATGGTTTTGTTTAGTCTATTCCTCTGACATCCCTCCACCTGCTTTATGTTACACCCCCTTCTCCTATTTCCTCAATTTTCTGTATCTCTTCCAGTGTTCCTTGTGGCTGTTATTGAGACATGAATGAGAGCTGGACCATGAAATGTGTCTCATTGATATGCCAGACTTAACCTGCTATGACTAATCTATGATGACAGCATTGATGTGTGAAGGCAGCTGAAATATAGGCTAATTATTGTGTAATAATGAAGTGATGCATTTTCCTGATTTATGAGTAGATGAAGTAACCATACAGAATTATTAAGACATGTAAAGGGTAATATATTCTTAAGAAGAGCTGGCATGACTAAAATATGACACTGCTAATATGTTCAGATAGCTGAGTTGTGCACTGATATGTTTGTTTAGTTGCTATGCTTTTATACACAGTTGATAGAGATGCCAAGGCTGTCTTTTATGACACCATTTTCTCTGCCTCTCTTTCAATTAGGCTTAATGAAATGTCCCGGCGGCCCTCAGTGTCCAATCTGTGCCTCGCCCGATTCCCTTCAAGGTCAAGGCTTGCTTGAGCAGACTGACCCCTTGTGCAGCTCGCCTGTTATCGCCTCCCCAGGAAGAGACACACCTTTGGAGACCGAACATAGTGAAATCCAAACCAGTGAATCCTTTAGAGAACCTTTAGGCACTGCCTCTCTGGGTCTGTCTGATCAACAAGGGAACAGCGTGGATCTGGTTTGCAACTTCACTCACTCTGATTCCCAGGATATTGCTCCACCTCCAGATCTCTCTCTTTCCTCCTCTTCCCCTCTCCCCCTCTCTCTCTCACTCTCCCTGGAATGCCCTGTGGAGAGACAGAGCTATGAGACACTTTGGAGGATCCTAGCGTACTACAGTGAGACTGCGGTTCGTCTGGAGAGGCACATCATGCTGAGTAAAGCCCCAGCATTGGCTTACCGCTACAGGCAGGCACCAGAGACAGAAGGACATTATCACACTGGAGTCCAATCTTCCATTAAAGCCAGACCACAATGGTTACTACGGCCAGCCATCAGCATTCAGCTAAACAGAGCACAGTCTAACAGACATAAAGTTCAACTTATCTACTCAACAAGAGTTTCTGCTCATCCTGACCCTGCTTCTCATCCCTCAGCATCCTCCGCTTCCTCACACCCATGGGTGCTGATTTCAACTAATCAGACCGCCACCGAACTTGCAACAGTAGTAGGTAGTAAGGTGGAGCTATCATGCCCTCTTTTAAGTTCTGGTAACCCCAAAGTACAGTGGGTTCAACCGGATGGATCCAAGCTCATCTCCCCCTCAAGCAGCTTAGATGGTAGGCTCCAGGCTTCAACCTCTGGTTTACTTATTCATAAAGTGCAGCTCTCAGATGCAGGGATCTATTACTGCATAGCACGGGCAGGCAAGGATGTAGACGTTCTCCCCCTGCGCCTGGCAGTGGAGGATTCCTCTTTTCCCCCTTCAGGAGAGCAAGTGGGACCTCCTGTCACAGCAACTGTTGGTAAACCTATCAGTCTATCCTGCAAGGCTTTTGGTTCACCAGCGCCTCATATAAATTGGGTGTTACCAGATGGAAACTTAGTACGGCAGGGATTAGCTGTATCAGGTGGGCTCATTTTACAATCAAATGGGAGTCTCTCTCTGCCTAACCCTTCTCTGAGGGATGCTGGTCATTACCGCTGCATTGCAGTCAACCAGTATGGTAGTGATTTTCTGTCCATTCAGCTTGAATTAAATTCAAGACATCCCCCTCCAGTTAGGACTTCATTTCCCACAGGGCCACAGTCAGCTGCTGGCCGGTCAACCCAGATACGAGCTCCATTACAAGAAGAAGAAGGGTCTGGCGATGTGGCGGAAGAAGGAGAGAGAATTCTTGCTGGCAGGAAGCGTCCAAGACCTCTTCAACCTTCCCCAAACAGACGTCTTCCAATTGGAAAACCCGTAAGACGTGGACCTATGAGAGAAGGCGCCCTGAGAAGAGGAGGAACGCCTACATCATCCACTGACCAGAGAAGAAACCGCTTTAAGAACAGACATAGGGTTACCACAAACAAACAAAGGATAGACCCTAAAAAATGGGCTGATCTCTTGGCTAAGATTCGACAAAAGACTGTTGCCACTAATGAAAGCGAGCCTGTTGATGAAGCAAAGCCGACAGCTGAAGCTGTGGAAGGAGGCCAAGATGGAGACACAGGTAGAATTGAAGGACTTGAGGATACAGAGAGAGGTAGATCTGAAGGAGCAGGGGAGGAAGCAGAAACTGAAGGGTCATCTCTTGATGAGATTGATCTACAAGAGGAAGGCCTTCAGCAAATGTACCCTGTCAACAAAGAAATGCTAACACACACAGATACAAATACAGACACTGAAACAGGCACAGAGATAGAGACAAACACTGAAACAGGCACAGAGATAAAGACAGACACTGACACAGACACAGAGATAAAGACCGCAACAGAATCAACAGAAACACAGACAAATATAGAGAACGAGACAGAGAGTGAGACAGCGAAAGCAACTCCACAGACAGAGTCAGTGACAAACACAGAGACACAGAAAGAAGCAGTCACATTGAAGCCAATGTCAGCAGCAAATGAAATTGTCCCAGAACCAGGTGAAGGGGATGAGCCAGAAGCAAACACCAACCCATCTAGAACCAAGCCTCAAAACCACCGGGAGGGACTCTTCCCTAATTTGGTACCCAATTCCCGGCCTCAAAGCCCTTGGAACTCTCGCAGGAGGATCGGACAGCGAAGACGAATCATCAACAGGCCCAGGGGGCATCCTTTGACCCCACGCCGACCTATCCCTGAACCTACAAACCCGAGGTCACAAACTGAGACACCTGTCACTACAACAGATCAAATTAATATGTTGATGCTGGTGTCAACAACCACATCTCCAGTCATGTTGTTGACACGGAGTGACCATATTGAGACTACTTCAAATGATGTGGTACTGAATTCTCAGTCTTCCACTATCTCTAATACTGTTGGTATCTCCACTTCTGCCACCCCCTCATTGACTCCCTCTTCCTCCTCTATCACCTCATTATCCCCCTCTCACACGAAGATACATATAGACATGGTGACTCACCCAGCCAACATCCCAGACACTGCAAAATCCACTCTCTTCAACACACTAACACCAGCACCCACTCACTCGGATGCTACGGTCGTGCAGACACATTCGCCTAACACACACGCCAAGACTTCGACACATGGCATACAGACTCACACAAAAACACACACATCTTTAGGCAAACATGTTGATGAACCTTCAAGTGATCCCAATGTTGTGCTCGAGAGGAATTTGTCAAGTGAACCATATGTGTCCCACTCCTCCATCTCTCTCTCGCCCAGTCCTTCCTCCATTGTTTCCTCCACTGTTTCCTCCACAGTCCCCAGTACAGCTACAACTACTACTGCAAAACTCCACACTACTCCTTTTACCTTTCTCAAAATAATACATACTAATTCTGCTGAAAGTGTTACAAGTATATCTTCCACTACAGCTAATGAGGACACACGTCCCATAGGAACAACACATATTGCTTTGAATATAATTCCCAAAATGTTTACTACAACTACCAGTATTATCCCTACATCTAGCACTACCAGAAGTACTACAACTGCTCTTACCTCTACTACTTCTTCCACAACACCTGATAGTATATCTTCCACTACAGCTATTGAGGACACACGTCCCATAGGAACAACACATATTGCTTTGACTATAAGTCCCAAATTGTTTACTACAACTACCAGTATTATCCCAACATCTAGCACTACCAGAAGTACTACAACTGCTTTTACCTCTACTACTTCTTCCACAACACCTGATATTACATCAACTTTTCCAACTACCACTACTACTTTTTCAATTAGCCCTTCTACTACTACTATAACTACTGCTACTAGTACTACAATCTCATTCAAGACTATCCCCGCAACCCCTCATCCTACTACCACTGCTACAACTACTACTCCTACTAGTACTAGAATTGTCACCTCAGTGAAACCTCCTTCAACAACTACAACGGCAGCTACACCCAGTAAATCTTCAACTACAACCACTACAATGATCACAACAAGTACAACACAATCACCCAGAGAGAGGCCAAGCGTTGTCAACGTTGATCCCAGAGGGAGGCCTAATTCTGGGGGTTCAAACCAGAATCGACCCTCTATTGACTGGAGGAACCCTGGAACTAATTCTATTCCAGATTCAGACAGCAGCCGGCCTCAATGGCCCCCCTCCCCTTCACTCCCGGCTGCCCCTGAGGTGAGTTCAAATTGAGTCAACAGTAATGCTATTTTGGGAATTCTTTATACCCAAAATGTGTTGCAAGAACACACATCACCCCACGAGTAAGAGCTTGGGCCACAATTTGTTTTTTATTTGTTAATGTCTGTAATTTTCCCCTATTTCCCTGCTCTTTGCTTTCAGTCATTTATACAATTAGTCATCTCTGTAAGTGCATTCTTAAATGCAGTCTGCATTTGATATATATAGAGAGCTATTTTTCTTTGTTGTCAGCTAAGTGGAACTCAAATTAACATTTATTGTGCTAGCCCAGAAAATAATAACAACACACACACACACACACACACACACACACACACACACACACACACACACACACACACACACACACACACACACACACACACACACACACACACACACACACACACACACACACACACACACACACACACACACACACACACACACACACACACACACACACACACACACACACACACACACACACACACACACACAACACCGACTGTGCAAGCCTTTGGGCAAAAGCTTAGCAGAAAAGCACAATAGATCTGAAAATAGTCTAATCTGTATCCACATGACCTGCTATAAAACCTAAGGGATGTTTAGGACAGTTCTTTAATTTCATGGATTTTCCGGAGCTCTGCTAGAGTCCCTGCAAGATCTAAAGAAGAGATGAAAAACACATGTTCCATAATCAACAACATTATGTGTTTTAAGACCCTAATCCCAAGGGATTTAAGATAATCAATTGTTAATTAATTTCCAGAGCTCTTTTGGCAGGCTTCAGCAGACAAAACCACTGGGTTCACCATCAATGGTTCCTAATCTGGTATTACAGTACTGCTATATTGAATTGTTTAACCTTAAAAGCTCTTCAATGTTTAATAAAAGGAATTACAAACTTTTGAAAATGTAAAATTCACATAATCATATTACTTTTTAAATACATAAAAATCATTTAATACATAATTAAAACATGTGTAATGACCTTTATTCTTACCCACACTTATGTTTTGATTTGTCTATCATTTTGGTTAGTTTTGTACATTAAAAGATGTTGTACAGATGGCCAAATTATCTGTTGACTACATTCTGTTGATTATGTAGATTTGCTAATTTTCCTATTAGACAATTATCATTTTATCTATTGTTTTCTGAAGGTGTTGTTCACAACTCCAAGGACAACACAATGCTGCAGCTTTGCAATTCAAGGGATTTTCATTAGTGGTGCTATGCTCTCAGATGTCTTAAAGTTAAAAAGAAATATATATTATTATCATGATTTTCTTTTTTGTTTACTTAAATCTATAAAACATTTACATAGGTCCCAGTTGTGAGATCCAGACCGAGGATTGCAGACCCGCACATCAGGACAGTGTCGGTCCCAGCAGAGAGCACTGCCAGGCTGGCTTGTGAAGCTCAAGGCGAGCCAAAGCCCTCCATCACATGGACCAAGGTCTCCACAGGTACACGCTGAGCAGACAATATGCACACATTTATTTCAGTATACAGAAATATGTAAATATTAAAAAACAATTCCCTTGTAGATGTGAAAGTACAAATCAGGGTTCAGTTTTATTTCCACAGATTACTCAGTAAATCCGCTCTCTTAAACCCTCAGGCATATCTTTTTATGCTGGGAAACATAGAAATGCTATTTTCTTATCAGAAGTACTACACACTGGTCCTTTAAAGCAGAAATAAGTAAAGGTTTGTATTTACCTCTTGACGTCATCGATTTGAAAGGAAAAACCAACTAAGCTTTAGTATGTACTATAACTTAATGAATATGAACACATTTTGCACTGATGAAGTAACCCATTAACACCCAGCATTACGCACTGGCATGCACACAATAGGCTTTTCTCTCGCTTGCCATGTGGGAAAGACATATTGCAAGAAAGTAATGGAACATTTGTGCACTGCATCACTGGGCTTACTTCATGCTGTGCCACAAAGTATTTCCCTGATCGTCCTTTCCTCTGTCTCATTCTAACTTTCTTTCCCAATTTGTCTCTGTTTTTCCCACTCTGTTTCATCACTGCTGCTTTCTCTGTCTGTCTGTCTCTCTGTCTGTCTCTCTGTCTGTCTGTCTCTCTGTCTGTCTCTCTGTCTGTCTGTCTGTCTGTCTGTCTGTCTTTCTCTCTCAGGAGCGGTGATGTCAATTATCTCCAAGGCAGAGCGTTTTGAGGTCCTGCCAAATGGCACTCTAGTTATCCAGAATATTCAGCTGCAGGACAGAGGCACATACATCTGCAGTGCACAAAGCTTTCTGGGTCGCGACAGGTGAGGCTGCTCATACCAGTTAGGAATATTAATGTAGCATTTTGCATTTAGTTATAATGACCATGGTACAAAATAGTTTCTGTATTAATTACACAGACCAAAAGCAAACAGCTGTTTAGGATTATGCATGCTGTGTTGGTGTATTTTTAAGCAGCCTAAAGTCATTTTGAAATCTCAGTATATAAAATCTGTTTATAAAAGGTTTGTTTGAATCCAATTCCAATATAATTGTGTTACTTGAAAAAATATGTTTGTCAATCCCATGTCTCTTTCAGGATTCCTGTTTAAATTGTGAATACATGAATTTGGGGAGTTTCCTAAACGTGTCCTATGCCATCTATGTTCAGTTTTATTTAGAATAAATACAAATGTGTTTCCATGTTGACTATTTGCGTCCTATACTCTTTCGTGATAGATTGCTAGCCAACCTGGAGGTGTGGACACGCCCCCCTCGGATGCAGCTGGCCAGCTACAGAGAAGTTACCATTCATCAGGGTGGAGAGGTGCACTTGCAGTGCCAGGCGGATGGTGTTCCCAGCCCTCTGCTCTCCTGGGTTTTGCCTGATCGCTCTGTCCTGACCTCCAGCGCTGCCTCCACCAGTCGAATTATTATGGACACGAATGGTACCCTCCATATACCAATAACTTTAACCGGTGACAGAGGCGTGTACCGCTGTGTGGCTTCCAACTCAGCAGGAGCAGCCAGTGCCTCAGCGCGTGTACATGTGTCGTCCTTGCCCCCTGTTATACAGCAAGCCAAAGAGGAACACCTGCTTTTGTCTCCTGGGAGGCCTGTTTATGCTCACTGCTCTGCCAGGGGAGCCCCGACACCAACTCTGCGCTGGCGAATTCCAGATGGGACTATAGTCCGCCAATCCCAGTTTCTTCATGGCAACCTTTTCGTCTTACCCAATGGGACACTGCATATTCGAGGAGTTCGGCCTAAGGACTCAGGGAATTACGAATGCATAGCAAGCAATGCTGTTGGAGCCGATAAGAGAACAGTTAGGTTAGAAATTGAAGGGTCAGCAGATGGAGAAAGAAGCCAGAGTGAAGCTGTTGAAAAAACATCTTCTTCACTAAATAAAGACAGAACTTTATCTATCCCTAGCCACCCTTCAAATCCATTCAACTCAGCTAGACTCCCCGCTTCATCGCCCCATGATAGATCCCGGACCTTGCCGCTCAACCCCAGTTCTTCTCGCTCATCTTTTTACCCTCGCCCACCCACTGCCACTAACTCACTTCCTAAAATCAATAAAACAGTCACTGCCTACCCCACACACTTGAGCAACATCAACAAAACAAAGCTCTCCCCTCTCTCCCCATCCTCCACAATGCCTACAAATAACACCAAAATCTCGCCTGGCATTGTAAATAACACAAAAGTTATTTCTCCTCCCCCCTCGAAAAAATATACAGCCTCAGCTGTTTTGCATCCCTCGCCTGTCTCACCCTTCAGTAAAGCCCTTATTGTCTCTACATCACCCTCCAGCTCCACTGTCCACTATGGGTTATTCTTGCAGCTCCACTGCTCTGTAACTGGAAACCCAGCACCTATCATCATTTGGAGGACCCCTATTAGGAAACTGGTGGACGTGCATTACAGGTAAAGTGGATGTGGGTTTGTGAGACGGTTGTTTAATTATATCTCGTAGTAATTCTGTCAGTATTGTGTCTCATTCTATACCTGTTGGTGATTTTTTTGTTTGTCCACATTCGATTTTCAGTTTTGACCCTCGTTTGAAGGTGCACCCTAATGGAACTCTGTCAATCCGAGCATTAACAGAGAAGGACGCTGGTGACTACCTCTGTATCGCGCGAAACAAGGTCTCAGATGATTATCGCCGCCTGCGTGTCTCTGTTGTTACTAAGCCTGCCAAGATCGAGCCCAAGCAACCACTCAATCAGATGGTGTCTTTTGGCACACCACTGAAGGTAAGTTAAATGAAAACAATTAATAAATCACAATTTATCTCAGCCTGGCTAGTTATTAAAGAAACATCATACCCCACTGTTCCACTGTTAGAAACTTGCATCAAATGCTGCCAAAACTAAAACAGTCCATCTTCCACACCTGCACTTTTAGAATTTTTTTGAGACTTTTTGATCAGGCCATGATGTGTGTTGGATCTCTTCTATGGCTGGGCTTAGTGCCAAACATTTCTACAGCTTCAAGCTGTGTCTTTAGTTATTTTTCTCTGATCAAAAAGTGCATCATATTTTTTTGACTTAAAAAAGGAAAAGAAAGACCTGTCAGGTCATAGCCTGTTATGAATCATCAACAGCGGCCTTCAGGGGATGATATTTGACACACAAATATTCAACAGTTCAATTAAATACTATGTCAAGCGGGTTGAAATGCAAGAAAGAGGACAATGTATTTGGGAATTTGTTGCCCTCCTTTTTTATTTCATTTAAAAATTAATGAGATTTGAACGTTTTTTTTTAAAGCAGCTTCATTTGTCTTGCTTAGCAGTGTTTTCTTAAATTAGTTATATTTTTGGGATTATAAAAACAGCCCTAAAAGCTGAATCTAGAGCAGTATGCATCTTTCCTTTTAACAAAGAGGAGACATTGTTATTTCCTAACAGCTCTCAGCAGTTTGGCACTCATCCAAACAAAAGTTAATTTAAGTTAAGTTAAAGTTGATAGAACTTTTAATGATAATAATGATCCTATTCCATGCAGGTGGACTGCCAGGCATCAGGACTGCCTGACCCATCTGTCCGTTGGAGCCTACCAGATGGAACCATGGTGAACAGCGTGTTGCAGGGGGAGGACAGAGGAGGGAGAACACGGAGGCTAACTGTGTTTGACAATGGGACGTTACTTGTACCAGCAGTAGGGATGGGAGAAGAGGGAGAGTACACGTGTTATGCTGAGAATCAAGGAGGCCAAGACACCATGAAGGTAAACTTTTTTTTTCTACTGCAGAAGAATATTTGAGTTATCATTTATATTACATATTCAAATTGAGTTTATTGTTCTTACTCACAATAAACATATCATGAATACAAATACAAATTAATTCAGTTGTAAACTAACTTAAATTCAATGTTTCAAGGTCAAAGTAAAAATCATGAGGACATCTCTACCAACCTTTACTGATGACAGAAGCCACCACGTGGTCAAAGTACGTGAAGGGGCAACAGCCACAATTCCCTGCCAGGCCACTGGAGTTCCTGCCCCGACGGTCACATGGTTTTCCCCGACCCGCCGTGTCATCCCAAAAAGTTTGGGATCTGGCTTTTATTCCGAGAGGGTTGTGGTGGTTTCGGGTGGAACTTTAGAGGTGCGTCTGGCTCAAAAGATCGACACAGGAACCTATACCTGCCAAGCTAGCAACTCAGCCGGGGAGAGGAGCATGCTGGTGGGCCTGGAGGTGGAGGCTGCTAACCATGGACAGAGTGGCCAGGTGGGAGGAAGAGGTTGGAGTACTAGCTATCAGCCTGATAGTGGTCATGGCAGTAGATCAGGGGAAAGCACTAATAATGCAAGGATACGTCAAGATGGATTTACCAATGGAGACACAGACAAGCTTGGCAGCAGTGACAGCAGAAATAATGCCTATGGTGCTAATGATGGCAGGACAAAAAGCATTGTACCAAATGATGGCACTAACATAGCGACCAGTGGCTTTTATCCTGCCCTTAGGAGTGATAGTCGAGATGGATTGAACAGACCTGTCAGTGGAATCACCACACAACTAGGAAGAAGTGTTATCAGTGTTGGAGTGAGTGGGGCTGGAAATATAGGCATTAAAGCGGATAACATTGGAACAAATCAAAATGGACCCGGCATTATGAGTAATAGTAATAGCCTGAGTAGCAGTCACAGCACAGTTAGATCAGATAATGTAGAAAGGAATCCTGGGACTAATGAAGTAAATGCAGGAAAGGCTGGTAATGGCGCTTACACCGGTAGAGAAAATGGCAGGATAAGTGTGTCTAATACAGGAGCTGGGACTGGCTCACTCAGTGGAAATGTGTTTAGCAGAAGTAGCAGTAATGCTGTTATAGCTGCTGGTACTAAAAACTATAGTAACACTGTTGTGGGTGTGGTAACTACAGTCAAACAGCGAGCTGTGAAAGGCCAAACTGTGGTTTTGCCATGCCTCTCCCAAGGCTCCCCTCCCCCTCGTGTGGCCTGGCTTCTGCCTGGTAATGGTGTGTTGCCTGCTCCTTACTATGGCAGCAGACTCACTGTGCACCGAAACGGCTCTTTGGAGCTGCGAGGAGTGCGTGCGAGCGATTCTGGGACCTTAGTTTGTGTGGTCAGAAGTGAGAGAGGACAGACGAGGATACAGGTGGAGCTGGAGGTCTCTGAGCCACAAGAGGAGGCCAGACTTTCACACAGGGGACGGGCAGATGAAAGGCCTGTCATGGGACATGTTGGTGTAATACAGTCGCCACGCCCGGGAGCCTCATTAGATTCAGCTAAATCCTTAAGCTCAAGGCCAGTGTTGCCTGAGGCACTTCATCCAAAAATCCAAGTTACTCAAAAGCCTCTACACAGAGGCCAGTCTTTGCCTGCCGCACCTCGTCCTGTCGGCCCTCCACCCCGTTCCTCGAGCCCTGTGTCAGAGCCAGCAGTGAGCACCAGAACAGCTCCCTTAGTGAGCATCGTTAATGGAGAGAACCTCCGCCTGCCTTGTCCTGCTCCTCAAACCCATGGATATACCCAGGGCTCTCTCTCATGGACCATGCCAAATGGAAAAGTGCTGACCCGGGGTGAAAGTGATGACTCAGGCCGATACAAAGTCCAAGAAGATGGAATTCTAACAGTGCAACAGGCCTCCGTGTACGACCGCGGCATCTTCAGCTGCAGATCTACCAGTGGCGACTCAGTTTCAGTCATCACGGTTCCCGTCATCGTCATCGCCTACCCGCCACGCATCACAACAGGCCCCTCCCCTGTGACCTACACACGACCCGGGGTGGCTGTGGAGCTGCCGTGTAGGACAATAGCGACACCCCGGGCGACCGTCACCTGGGAAACACCAGACCTGACACAGCTGAGGGTCATGGGTCAGGCTCGTATCTATGGCAACCGCTACCTTAGTCCTCAAGGTTCCTTGGTGATACAAAACCCGACAAGTAGGGATACGGGATTTTACAGATGCACCGCCAAAAATGTAATAGGAGTGGACACCAGGGCAACCTACCTACATGTTATATAACAGGGTGAAATAAACACACACACGAACAGACAACGAGCAGAACGACGGAGACAGTCTACAGTACTGGTGGATGAACTCCTCTGCTTATAACATTTTATGTTTCCCACATGCCCAAAGGAACTGCAAGGCTTTATGTAGGAGATACTGTTGAATCTCCGAAAAGACAATACTAATATACATTATGTCTCATTTATGTATTTGTATGACTTTGATTTCAATTTTTGATTTGAAATATCAGGAGTTGAAGGATTCTTTGCTGATACAGCATCATACATCATACATCATACAGCACCTGTGGACTGTTTCAGTGCAAAGATGTGTCACATTTGAGTATTGCTGAAAGACAAGCAAGCTTTACTTGGCCTGATTGCTTTGTTTCATTACTTTACACATTCGTCCACTAAAAGTGAACTACAGTATAGCATACAGTATTTGTAATGACTGTATCACTAAATATTGTAGATAAAACACAGAATAAGGACAAGAAAGACTTTTTCCTGTCCTTCACAAATGTCAAAAGGCACATTAATATTCGACGTGATGTCATATCAAATAATCATGTTTGATTTTGGTGTATATTTATAAAATATAAGATTTTTTTATATACTTGCGAAATGGGACGTCATCAACACTATTTAAATGTCAACTTAATATTGACCTTTTAACTACATTTTCTAATTTATAACGTACATAAAAAGGTTGTATTTTGTTGTGGTGCATATGTAGCGAACAGTAACTTAAATTGGCAGCCTTGTTTGTATTTTACTGCCTTACCGTTACAGTGAATGTGTAGAAGACATGATGAGGGCTCAAGCGTCGTGATCCAACCAGTTTATTCAGGATTTTTTGAACCTATTAACTCTTCTTGTTATGTTATGGATTTTAAACCTTGCCAATATTATTCTACCACCATTGAGAACATCTCACATTCTCACAGCATTAATGGGGCAGAAAGAGATACGGTACAAAGCATTCATGCAAACACAATAGTCAGTTCTTTGGAGAGTTATCTTTGTGATTATTTTGATATTAAAGATTGTATAAATGTATGTGTGGTTTAAGATCCTTCCCTAAGCTTGAGCACAAAGACAGCAGCTCATAGTTATCATGTTTCCTCTTTCCTTTTATGTTTTCTTTTCATTTTGTCCTTAAATTATTTGTCTTGTAAAGTCTCTGTTGTAAGATGTGCTTTGTCATAAAGGGAGAAATTATTAAATATCATTATGTATGTCAATAGTTACCAATGAATGACTGCTTGCTATATCTTTGAACAGCTTCATTTTATAAATAAAACTGAAAAAATAACTGAAAGTCGACTTCATGAAATGGCAACAGTTAAAACTAAGATTTATTCAGAAAAACGAAACAGATACAGAGTGTGTGCCTGAGTGAGTGTGGGTCGGAGTCAGAAAAGTAAACAACTAGTGTTGGTGCAAGAGCAAGAAAGGAAGCTTTTCCTTGAGTATATTATGAGAACAGAAACTCCTTATCCCCGGCTCAGCTGTCCAACCAGGATATGGGGTCTTAACTATAGATGGGACACATGTTGATGACATCATATTGCTCTCCCTGGGAAATGTAATAAACTAACAGCAGGCTTCAGGGCGACTCCCCTGCGCTAGCCCCTGCCAAGTGCTCTTAATAGTGTTTATTCTGACTCCACTAAATACGAACAATAATCAGACATTATATTTATGAGCACTAGCAGCTATAGTTAATCATATAGTGCAATGTTGGACATGACCCATACTGTATATATTGCTCTGTAACTGTGAAAATCATCCCAAATAGCTGGTGAAAATGCCGCTTCAAGGATTAATGACTAAATATTTTCTAGACTGAACTGCAGAATGATCATAGAATTACTTAAAAGTGTAAACATTTCCATATTGTATATTCGTGTTTTGTAGTGTGAACCTGCCAGGAACATTCTGGCCTTGTGAGGCAAAGATCAGTACCTTGGCTGATTTAGCAAATCCACATATACAAATCAGTCTTAACCTGCTGATGTCACAAGTCATATCTTGAGAACATTTGTTATTGAATTATTGAAATGTAAAACACAAAAACAAACAAACTAAACATTGTAGAGTATATTGATGTGAAGTCGCTCACAGATCAAAAGTGATTCTTATTAATATAATTTCACTGGCCCTTACATTTGGGCAGTTTAGTTTTCTTTTGTAAATAATATTTGGGAAAATAGTGCAGGGGAGCAACATTAGAGTTTTGTTTTGTGCTCCATGAGGACAATTGTTTTCTGTGAATGCTTTTTATGTTTTGAATTATGTCCTTTGTTGGCGAATTTCCATTCATTGTGGGACACTAATTGAATTTTTCATGTCTGTAATCCCTGTTGCAAATGAATTATTATCTATCCTCTTTTGTGCAATTACAAACTGACAAGCATGTAACAAACTAATACAGAGCATCACATTGGCACTTTCACTTCAGCCATTGACATGAAGAGATTGCAGAATGGGTTAAATGACCTGTTTGGATTAGATAAATAATGCCCTCAGTTTCATTGTAATCTGATAGTAAATCAAATATAATTCCTGCTGATGATCAAACTTTTTCATTTACTCTAATGATCTACAATCCAGCAGTAGTCCCTGTCAGAATTAATGGTTATACCATCATTTATGGTTATTATTGTCACAGGCTTCGGAGACATTATTAATACATCACCCACTCTACCTGGAAACTCAACTGCATACTTTGTAATAAAAAACACACACTGCTGCTACAGTACATCTGCTCACATTTTGCCTCACATCAATGTTGTCATCACAGTTTAGTCATGTTAGCTATCTGGCATATCAACGGGACACATGTCACGGTCCACCCAGCTTTCATGTTTTCATCCGAGTGAGAAGACAGACAACAGCTAGTCATCTGGTTTGGAGTGCGCTGATTTTTCTTTGTGTTTAAATAGGAAACAGGCAGTGCAACTTCTTTTACAGTACCGGAGGCCTTTTCCTTGAAAGTCACTAGATTATACTTTGTAGTCTACCACATGCATTTAGGGAGAAGATGTATTTCAAAATGCCAAAGATGATCTAAAGCTATCATCAGTTACGAAATCATTGTATTAGTCAAGTTCAATGTAGTTTGTACTGTGCAAGTATTCCACCACCCACTGAGAGGCCTCAGAAGGATCCATTACTCTCATGTCTTTAATGTTGCTTTCAAACAACAATACACTTTGGATTGAAAAATACATTTTGTTTTGATGCCTCATTAGGTTCGCCCATCACAAATGTGTTTCCAATGTATTATTGTTTTTTTTACATTTTGCTTCTCTAACAGAAATATTAATGATATGAAAAGGGTCTGAACCATTTCATTTCACAGTAATAATGATTATATAACTGGAAATAATTGCAAAATTATTCCTGCATGGGAGAGCCCTTAGGAAAAGCATTGCTCTGACTTCACCCTACAGTTTCACATGCATAAATGGTCTATTTCTTACATTACATAAACTCTTAATACATCAGCTCTAACTATCGTGATGTTAAAACAGAATGTTTTCAAACATATTTTACTCTATTTACGCCTATCTATTTACCACCTTGTGTAAGTTACTCTACCAATATCACACCTTATAATATAGGTTCACCCTTATAGGTATGACTCATTTCCCCCTAGTATTTATCAAAACAGCGGGATGATTGTTTCCTGTAGAGGCACATTTCTTAAGATCACCCTGTGCAGTAATGAGCAGATGGGAAAGAAGATATTAAACTGGAGTGTGTGGGAGGAGGTATACTGTGTAGCAATTATTTGGATCTCGACTTCGATGGCGTAACTGAGGCATCAGTCAGCTGTTGTCATATAGATTTCATAGACGTGACTTAATGGGAGCACAGATGGTGACCAAGTCAAGATGCCACATGAGCCACATGTGCGCCACATGTGCGCACATTAAGTACACAGACGAATATATTTGTGGCTAAACCCAAGACAAGTAATATACTGTACAGGCAAGATATGTCTCCCCCCCTCTCCCCCCCCCCCCCCCCCCACACACACACAGACATACACTGAGGGATGAACAGAGCTCACAGTTATACTACTTGAGCAGCTGTTGAAAAATGTTTTAAGATGAAAAGGCAAAGAAAGACTCATAACAAACCCTATATCAGCAGCATACACTCAAAACACATCTGGTAGCACATACGTCAAGGAGTGATATCACCTCTCACAGCAGGCAGTGTTTACACTAGCGCATGAGCCCATTAGCAGCTTATGTTGTTACAAATACTTCATTTGAGTTCAGTGACATTAAAGATCTGTTTTTGTAGGTAAAATAAAATACTCAAGAAGACTAACCAGCCCACATATTGAGGAGAGACAGACTGTGTATGCATACATATTTACCGGTTTATCAATGTATTGTTGATTAAAAAACAATACAAAAGAGAATCCCCTTAAAGTCACCTTCGACATTTAAAGGTTTAGGGTATATCTGGATCTAGTTTAGGAATAATACATCCAGCCCAGCCCATAGGCGGTCTGCAAGGGTTACAGTTTGGCAAAAACAGAGGCCCCTTGTCCTCAGTGTTAGTCAGCTCAACCCAATCCTATTCACACAATGGCAAAATAGTGTGTGAATACATTTTAAATACTCATTGAACAATGTTAAATGTTTGATGAGCTGGTTTCAGCGACATTGTATTCATAAAAATGCAATGTCCCTGTGTCTTTGGTTGTATTACAAGTCCCAGTAAAAAGTTAGAGCATCTTCAACTTCCTTCTGTACTTAGATGTATTCCCCAGCGAATAGGAATCCTTGAGCAGTTTACAGTAAGAGGAATTTCTAATCAAATAATCCGATTTGATGAGACCACAGAAATGTGGGCGGGCTTGGAAGGTAGCACAGTACAGAGCTACGAAGGATTGAGGCTCCACACCTCATATGAGTACTTCCCACTACAAATAATCCAATCACACAAGAGCTAAAATATGTTCAGGATCACTGAGTTCAACACAATTCATGTCAGCATTAATCTGGGTTTGACTGAGAGTCAGTGACCTCAGCACAAAATGTGTACACCCGGGGAAACAAAACGGTTACAGTATCCATCACAATATACTGCTAAGAGCGGACTTTGGGTGTGTAATGTATTCGCAGTAAGAGGACAATGTGTGTTGTGTGCTGTAAGTGTTTGTGTATCCATCTACTGTATATTTGATACCTTGTGTGTAAGTTAATGTGTGTGTGGAGTGTCCGCCAGGTCGGGTGTGTCGGTCAGCTGTTCAAAATGCTGTAATGTCAGGGAGTCTCCTTTCTCAGGAGAAAAGGCTGACTCATGGACTAACTGGCTGGCCTACTTTCAATGGGACACACACACACACACACACACACACACACACACACACACACACACACACACACACACACCACACACACACACACACACACACACACACACACACACACACACACACACACACACACACACACACACCACACACACACACACACACACACACACACACACACACACACACACACACACACACACACACACACACACACACACACACACACACACACACACACACACACACACACACACACACACACACACACACACACACACACACACACACACACACACACACACACACACACACCTTGACTTGTTGTTATTGTGCAAAAGTTTTGACTTGTAAACCTTGCTCAGATGCAGTGATCAAAAGTTAAAGTTAAACCAAGGAGGACAGATGAATATTTTTTGGGAACACTCACACAGCTGGTTTAAACAAAGCCTAAGCTCTACAATATGCGCTGCTGTCAGCACCCCTTGTGAGAGTAAATTATTTGTTTGAAAAATTACGATATACACAGCTACAGAGTATTTTCAGCTGTTACGTCTTTGATCTAAGTTGATGTTTTTGACCATGAAATCTAGAGGTTACGACAGCTTTGCTTCACCCAATCACCAAGCTTGAAATTAGCTGCTTAATTTATTATTTTAATTATCATTGCAGTATTGCTTTACTCATACTGTACATGCCACACCACACACCCAAGACGGAGGATACAAGATAAAGACTACCCTGAGAGCTTCAGGTAATGAATCATCTGCTCAATGGAGGCATGTCATCTGTCAGCCCTCAAAGCTCATTCTGTAAGACACACATCAGTGTTATGTATTTGCCACAGAGAGCAACTCTGAGATACCTACATTATTTATCTGTCTTTAAACTTTAAAGTCTGTTTAACACTCTACAGAAATGAAAAGGTGTTAAAGT